TTCTCGAAAATATCGACCGACCTTGGACACAGGATTTTTTCCGTAAATCGTTGAAGCTACAGTAACAACAGAGTTGTCAGTCCATTTGGTTATGAATATTTCTGCACCGTCCAGTTTTATGCTCTCTATGTGTCCACGTTGTTTCTTTTTGAGAGCCTTTTTATCAGGCAAAGGGCAAGGCCTAGGAATCATGATTTCTCGCATTGTTCCAGTGCCATGGTAGCCCCGCTCTTTCAAACCGAGCAGAACAGAAACTGAAGTGAACAAGTTATCAAAATATATGCAATATGCTAGTTGCCTTTTATCGTCATCTAGATCATCAAGCATGGAAAACAATGGCGCAGGGTTCTTTCCGTACACTTTTGGATACTCTTCTGGTATACGTGGATTAATGCCTTGGTACATCTCAAAATTTACAAGGTATCCTTGGGGCGTATTGAGGCACCACATTTTGTATCCAAAACGCAACGGTTTCCCCCTAATAAACTGCTTACAACCGTGTCGACCGTAATACTCCACCATAGACTCATCGTAAGATAGATGTTGTTCAGGATGAAAATGTGTGAGGCATTGCTTTTTCACTGCATCAGTAATTGGACGGATTTTCCAAATTTTGTCCTCCCGATCTTCCAAGCTGTTATCTTTGAAGTGCATATAACGAAAAATTATCTCGAACCTATTACGTCGCATGCTTTCGCTAACCATGGAGCACAGCATATCTGAATCTTCGCACCAGTAGTCTCTTTTTTTCGGTCGAGATGTGTACCCAGTGACAATCATTATACCAATAAACACCTTCATCTCGTTTATGGTAATGTTGGGATTTTGACCTTCTACTTGAACTGCGTAAGCATTGGATTCATCACATAACATCTGTAGGACCTCATCATGAATAAATTTTTCAAATTGCTGATGTGGCAAAAGCCCGGAACAATCTGTGTAATTTGGCTCAGGGAAAAAAGGTTTTGATTTACCAGCGATACTATCAACCCAAGTTAACTGTGGTGCCCGCACTTTTTGTATTTTCGCTCGAGGACCGCTTCGTTTCGAAGTATTTTGTCTCTTTCTGTTGCTACTACGTACTGAAATCTTATCAGGCGTTTTGTTAGACGTACGCGTAGTTGATTCTTCCTCCAGAATTTCTGTTCTGATTTGTTCTGATGTTTTGAAAAGAATTTTGAAGAACATCTTCAATTAAATCGGCAATATCGTCATCCGTGTTATTCAGTGCATCATCTACAGATATGTCGTCGTCGTTGGTATTACACACTAATTCACATGGCGCTTGCAACTGCTTCTTGCTTAAATTTTCGATGGTGCCGCCGCAGTCTTCTTCACCTGAATCTTCATCGGATACCTGACCTTCATCCGGTGGCTCTAGGTACACTTTATCAATATCTTCGTCATCACTTTGTAAACTCTCTAGGTAATCTAGCATTTCATCCGTATTTTTGAAGTATCTAATAATATAAACAAATCAATATACTACCACGGTATTTGGACCAACGTAACGTGTACGTCACAGCAATAAAAAACCTAATCAGACACTATTAAAACACAATAACTTATAAATTTTTATTTCCAACTATTTGACTACAGATATTTTTTAGTAATACTACATACATTTTTGTTTTTAGTCGCACGCAATTAAAAAAAATATATATACTTACTTTTTGGCCTTTGTCCTTCTCGCCATTTTTCTTGTTTTCAATTTACACATAAAACCAAACTAACACCAACGCGTCTATTCACAAGCAAAACTTAACTGCAACTGACGCAATCTTGATCGTACCGCTTCAGAGGAGATTATGTTGGATTTTAAATTAAATTTGCATAAGCCAATTTTTTTTTTACGCCCAATAAAGAAGGGCTATGCTGTCGTGATGTCTACGTCACATTGGTCCTGAATGGGTTAATTGATAGCCATTTTCGTTGTTCTGCGAGATGAGAAAAATAAATAAAAGCTTGTAAAATTAGGTAATTAGGGCCAGTGCAGGTAAACCTAATACTTTCTTTGATAGTTAATAATAGTTACACAATTTTTAAGGCAGGTATCGCCAATGTGCAGGTATGTTGAATGCATCTATCGGAGGAGTTTCCTTATAAATGTTAAAAATAATGCCGCTAGTGCGCATTTTAGGGTAGGTATCTTAAATATGCACTTAAGCATAAAGGCAGCAAAGCAAAATATACTGTAATAGTTACGTAAAAAAAGAGCATTTTATTTATAAAAGTTGCCCTGTAGGAGGAGCTGTGATAGAGAATTCTGAAGAAACCGTATGATAGTTTCGAGAAATTATTTATGTATGTATCTAAAAAAATTTCTTGGAGCTATAGAAATTTAGAAATAGCGAGATAATTGCTTTTGCTTCAGAATGGCGTACGTTTTTTTGCCGGGGATTTTTATCAAACACTGGTAGTGATTCCGAATGTATATGATGAATAAAATCAGGAAGAAATGTGGTCAATTAAAAAATCAAATTATATTATAAATTCAGTTAAAAAAGTAATTTTTTATCAGATACATATGCCGTTTTCAAATTTTTATGATGTTGCGAAGCGCTCCCAGTTAGCTTGTTT